CCGCGGCATGTGGGATCTTCCCGAAACGGGGCACGAACCCGCGTCTCCTGCATCGGCAGGCGGACTCTCAAGCACTGCGCCGCCACCAGGGCCCAAGGGATGCTTTTTTAATGATTTAAATTTCTTTAAAAGATAATCATCTGCTTACAGCAGAAATAACAACAATGTATTGTGTGAGCTCTATCACATGAAAAGTTAAAATGTATGATCACAGGAGTACAAAGTCTGGGAGGGGAAATCAGAAATGGTGTCTTAAGGTTCTCTTACTACATATGAGATGGTATGAGCTCACTCAACAGTGGATATTGACAAGTTAAAAAACGTATAGTATAGGGGCTTCCCTGGTGGTGCAGTGGTCGAGAGTCCGCCTGCCGATGCAGGAGACGCGGGTTCGTGCCCCGGTCCGGGAAGATCCCACATGCCGCGGAGCGGCTGGGCCCGTGAGCCATGGCCGCTGGGCCTGCGCGTCCGGAGCCTGTGCTCCGCCACGGGTGAGGCCACAACAGTGAGAGGCCCGCGTACCGCAAAAACAAACAGACAAACAAACAAAAAAACGTATAGTATAAATCCCGATGCAACCACTAAAATAACCGAACAAAGAATTACAGCCAAGAAGGCAACAAAAGAGACAAATGGGATAATTTAAAATTATAATAATCAAAAAAAAAGGGCAGGAAAAAAGGAGAAAAGAACAGATGAGATGAGTAAAAGATAAATAGCAAGATGGTAGATTTAAACCCAATCATATCAATAATCACATTAAATGTAAATGATTGAAACATCCCAATAAAAGGCAGAGGTTAGCAGATTGGGTTAAAAAAAAAAAAAGCAAGAGTCAACTATATGCTGCCCACACAGAGCACACTTCAAATATAGACACAAGTTGGTTAAAAGTAAAGGGGTGGGAAAAGATAAATTGGCTAACGCTCAACAGAATAACTGAGTGGCTGATGTATTAACATCAAAGCAAAGTTCAGAGCGCGAGTATGACCAGAGAAGAACTGGGCCATTTCATGATGACAAAGTTCTAATCATCAGAAGGACATAACAGTCCTAAATGTGCATGTACCTATGGCACACGGTAAGAATCCATGAAGCAAAAGTCGGTTAGGAGAAATGGACAAATCCACAATTATACTCAGAGATTTCAACACTGTTCGCCCAAATGTGATTCAACAATTAGACAAAGATTCATCAGGAGTATAGAAGAGACCTGAACGCGCTCACGTAACTTGGCCTGATTGATATTTTACAGAGCAGTCAAACATTTCCTGAGCCACAGGTGGCAATATTTTTTAAATAATTCAAGTCATTCAAAGAATGTTGTCTGACCACACTGGAATTATACTAGAAATCACTAAGAAAAGATATCTGGGAAATCCTCAAATGTTTGCAAACCAATAATCCACTTCTTTTTTTAAATATTTTATTTATTAAAAAGACCCGGCTGTGCCGGGTCTTTGTTGCAGCTTGCGGGATCTTTCGTTGCAGCATGCAGACTCTTAGTTGCGGCGTGTGGGATCTAGTTCCCTGGCCAGGGATTGAACCCGGGCCCCCTGCATTGGGAGTGCTGAGTCTTAGCCACTGGGCCACCAGGGAAGTCCCAGTAATCCACTTCTTAATTTCCCATACACTGAAGGAACCAAAGGACAATTAAGAATTATTTTGAACTGAATGGAAATGAAAAGAGAACGTATCAAAAACTGCGGAACACAGTTAAAGCAGTACTTAGAAATTTATGGCACTGAGCACCTAATTAGAGAAGACAGGGCTCAGATCAATGACCTCAGTTTCCTTCCAAAGGAACTAGAAAACATGAGAAAAGATGAAACCCCAAGTAAGCAGAAGCAGGCAAACAGGGAAGATCACGTGAGAAATCAATGAAATAGAAAACAAAACAAAAGGAAAAAAATAGAGAAAATTAATGAAACCAAAAGCTGGTTCTTTGAGAAGATCAATAAAATCCATAAATCTTTTATACATGGATCTGGGGGAAAAAAAGAGAAAAGACACAGATTATCAATATTAGGAGCAAGAGACACAATGTTACTGCGGACTGTACACACATTAGAAGAATAGGACCACAATTTGAAAAGATACGTGTTCACTGCAGCACTGTTTACAGTAGCCAAGACTCAGAAACAACCTAAATGTCCATCAACAGAGGAACGGATAAAGAAGACATGGTCCATATATACAATGGAATATTACTCAGCCATTCAAAAGAACGAAATCATGCCATTTGCAGCAACATGGGTGAACCCAGAGATTGTCATACTGAGTGAAGTCAGGCAGAAAGACAAATATCATATGATATCGCTTATATGTGGAATCTAAAAAAAGGCTACAAATGAACTTATCTGCAAAACAGAAATAGAGTTACAGATGCAGAAAATAAACCCCTTACCGTGGGGGTAAGGAAGAGAAGGATAAATTGGGAGACTGGGATTGACACATACACACTACTGCATATAAGACAGATAACTCATAAGGACCTACTGTACAGCACAGGGAACTGTACTCAGTGCTCTGTAATGGCCTATATGGGAAAAGCATCTAACAAAGAGTGGATATATGTATATGTATAACAGATTCGCTTTGCTGTACACCTGAAATTAAGAACATTGTAAATCAACTACACCCCAATAAATTTTTTTTTAAAAAGAAGAATAGGGAGTATTGTGAATAAATTTATGCCAATACATCTGACACCTTAGAACTGGACAAATTCATTGAAAAACAAAAACTACCAAAGCTCACTCTAGAAGAAGTAGAAAGCCTGAACGTATTTATTAAATAATTTGAATTTTTCATTAAAAATCTTTCCACAGAGAAAACACCAGGCCCAGGGAGGGTGGTGGTGGTGGGATGAATTGGGAGACTGGGATTGACATATATACACTAATATGTATAAAATAGATAACTAATAAGGATCTGCTGTATAAAAAATAAATAAACAAAATTTTTAAAAAAAAGGATATGCCACTCTCATAAAATGAGTGGGGGGCATTTCCTCTTTCTCTGCTTTGTAAAACAATTTGAATAAGATTGAAAATATCTGTTCCTTCAGTATTTGGTAGAGGAATTATTTGAGGTCGGATTTTTTTGTGGGTATATTTATGTATGTATGTGCCTGTGCACATGTGTGCTTATGTGTGAATAAATTTTAAGCTATTAATTCATTTTCTTTACTGATAAGAAAAAAAAGAAAGAAAACACCAGGCCCAGATGGCTTCACTGAGAAACTCTACAAAACAGTTAAGGAGGAAATAACACGCATTCTACGCAAACACTCCCAGCAAAGGGAAGAGAAGGGGCTACCCCTCGACTCGTTCCATGATGCCAAATCCAGAATGACAAGAACAGAAGCCTACAGAACAGTATCGGTCATGAACACAGATGCAAAACACCTTAAGTTTTGGTTAATCAAATCCAACAAAAAAAAGGACAATACATCATGATCAGGTGAGGTTTATCCCAGGGATGCAAAGTTGGTTTAACATTTGAAAATCAACCAACATAACTTATCGTATCAACAGAAAGAAAAAACATATGATTATCTCAGTAGATGCGGAAGGATCACTGGACAGAATCCAACACCCGTTCCTGATGTTAAAAAAAAAACCTCTCAGCAAAACTGGCAAAGAAAAGGACATCCTCCAACTGAGAAAAGGCGTCTACGAAACATTACCGTTATCAGACTTAATTGCTAAAGAATGACGCTCACCCCTTAAATTAGAACCAGACCTGGGGTTTGCTCTCTCCCTGCTAGTCAACATCATGCTGGAGGGTCAAGCCAGTTCAGGCTGGAAGGAAGTGAAATGCCCCTGACTTGAAAATGACAAGATCATCTATGTGGACAATTCTATGGACTCTACAAGAAAAAAAGTCACCAAAATGAACAGCATTAGTGCACTTAGCAAGGTGGCGAGACACAGCCAGCTGCAAGCAACAAGTTTCCAGAGCCAAGCACACATGTAATCGAGTCACGTGACGTAGCGTCCCACTCGCAGGCATTTACCCAACAGAAAAGGAGGCACACGTCCACACAAATTTGCACACAAATGTTCACAGCGGCTTTATTTGTAACAGCCCCGAACTGGGAACTGCCCAAATGTCCGTCCACAAGTGACGGGGCAAACCGTTCTAGGTCCACACAATGGGACATGATCAGCCATAAAAAGCCGTGAATCATCCGTCGCCACTTGGCAACGACGCGGGTGAGTCTGAAGGTAACTGTGCTGGTGGAAAAGGCGTGCGAACTGTGTGATGGCGTCTGTACCACATTCTAGAAAGAGCCAGTGGGTCTACAGTGACCGAGGCAGACGTGGGGCTGCCTGGGTCGGGGCTGGGAGGGGGCGTGAGATGACCTCTGGGGGTGATGGGAACAGCCACTGTCTAGATTGTGGTCAGAGTTTCATGGACAGAAACAGGTCAAAACGTATCAAATCATATGCTCTAAATAGTGTCAATTATGTCTCAATAACGTTGTTATCTAAAACAACAAACAAATCAGGTTGATCTGCTAGACAGACAGACAGACAGACAGACAGACGAGAGGCCTGTGTGGAGGGACCGGGGAGGCCGCTGAGGTGATAGGCTCGGCCTCGGCTGCTGAGCGAACACACGAAGTGTGAACAGGGGTGACATCACTTTAGACTTCAAAATGCACTAGCGGCCCCTTTTTGGTTCCGCCTTCTCTCCTGGGGCCTCACTGGAGCCTCCCCACGCATGGCGCTAGCCACTCCTGCACCTGTGCTGGGACCACTGCGGGAGGGACCCCTCCTCCCCGAGGGACACTGGGGGTGCTGCCGGCGACTCTCGGTCACAGGCACCATAGGGATGGGTGGCCTCGAGCTGGGCAAGCGCGGCAGAGGAAGAGGCTGGTTGCGATGGCAACAGCCCTGCTTCTAAAGACTGGGCGTCCTTCCTTCGCCCTTGAAAGGGAAGAGGCGGGACTGAGAGCCAGGGGCACGCGGGGCTCCTGTGGACACAGGGCCGGTTCTACGTGCCGCTGCTGGACCGAAGCACCCGCACTCACCCCACCCCAAGAAACCGCTGGGGCCCTTGTCTGCTCAGGAGCAGCAATTTGCGAGGAAGGGAAATGGGGACAGACGGGCAGGACAGCCACGCCGCCCCCGTGTGCAGCCTGTCCACGTGCGCACGCGGGCTGTTCTGCCCGCACAGCCTGCCGGACACGCTCTGGGAAGAGGGAGCCCCAACCCCGAGGATCGGCCAGCAGGAGCCTGGTAAGCACCTAGCAGTGCACCACAGTCACTGGGCAGCGGGGCTGGCGCTGGCCCCTGCGACCAGCAGCACTGGGTGGTTAGAAGTGCAGTCTCAGGCCCCATCCCAGACAGAGTCAGACCCACGTCTTTTTTTTTTTTTTTTTTTTTTTTTTTTTTTTTTTTTTTGCGGTACGCAGGCCACTCACTGTTGTGGCCTCTCCCATTGCGGAGCACAGGCTCC